ATCAACGTTGACATATGAGATGAATGTGTGGATGTCTTTGTATTTGACCATGTCACCACTACAGAACTCATTTTTTTGTATTTTATTTATTTCCATCGTTATTGAAAATCAATGTTACCTATACTTGCGTTCTAAATAGTAGGCATTTTAGGTATGTGAAAATATAACGTTTTATAGTATGTGACATTTCTAAAATCAAGTATGCTTTAAATGCCAGGATGTTATACTCATTTCGGCTTTTCATCTAGTAGAATTCACTGCATACTTTTGAAGAAGAGAATCGTCTTTCCAGACTCACGTGTGTTTGACAACCGCTGATAATCAGCTGATAATGAACGAATGGTGGGAATCAACGCAATTGTGCATTAGATTACGCATTCTCAGGATGGGCGAGTCTTGCATGTTGATCTGTTGCTTACTGCATTCGTCTTTACTAAACAGTAAATTCAAAATAGCATGTAGTAAGATCAGTACACAGTATATACAGTGGTGGTCAAAAGTTTTGAGAATGACACAAGTATTGGTCTTCACAAAGTTCGCTGCTTCAGTGTTATGAGATATTTTTGTCAGATGTTACTATGGTATACTGAAGTATAATTACAAGCGTTCCATAAGTGTCAAAGGCTTTTATTGACAATTACATTAAGTTTATGCAAAGAGTCAATATTTGCAGTGTTGACCCATCTTTTTCAAGACCTCTGCAATCCGCTCTGGCATGCTGTCAATTAACTTCTGGGCCACATCCTGACTGATGGCAGCCCATTCTTGCATAATCAATGCTTGGAGTTTGTCAGAATTTGTGGGGTTTTGTTTGTCCACCCGCCTCTTGAGGATCGACCACAAGTTCTCAATGGGATTAAGGTCTGGGGAGTTTCCTGGCCATGGACCCAACATTTCGATGTTTTGTTCCCCGAGCCACTTAGTTATCACTTTTGCCTTATGGCAAGGTGCTCCATCATGTTGAAAAATGCATTGGTCGTCACCAAACTGTTCTTGGATGGTTGGGAGAAGTTGCTCTTGGAGGAAGTGTTGGTACCATTCTTTATTCATGGCTGTGTTCTTAGGCAGAATTGTGAGTGAGCCCACTCCCTTGGCTGAGAAGCAACCCCACACATGAATGGTCTCAGGATGCTTTACTGTTGGCATGACACAGGACTGATGGTAGCGCTCACCTTGTCTTCTCCGGACAAGGTGTTTTCCGGATGCCCCAAACAATCGGAAAGGGGATTCATCAGAGAAAATGACTTAACCCCAGTCCTCAGCAGTCCAATCCCTGTACCTTTTGCAGAATATCAGTCTGTCCCTGATGTTTTTCCTGGAGAGAAGTGGCTTCTTTGCTGCCCTTCTTGACACCAGGCCATCCTCCAAAAGTCTTCACCTCACTATGCGTGCAGATGCACTCACACCTGCCTGCTGCCATTCCTGAGCAAGCTCTGCACTGGTGGTGCCCCGATCCCGCAGCTGAATCAACTTTAGGAGACGGTCCTGGCGCTTACTGGACTTTCTTGGGTGCCCTGACGCCTTCTTCACAACAATTGAACCTCTCTCCTTGAAGTTCTTGATGATCCGATAAATGGTTGATTTAGGTCAAATCAAATCAAATCAAATTTTATTTGCCACATGCGCCGAATACAACAGGTGTAGACATTACAGTGAAATGCTTACTTACAAGCCCTTAACCAACAATGCATTTTTAAAAGAGATTTTATTTTGTAAATTGTTAAGTAAAAAAATATAAAAGCAAATAACTAAAGAGCAGCAGTAAAATAAAATAACAGTAGGGAGGCTATATACAGGTGGGTACCGGTGCAGAGTCAATGTGCGGGGGCACCAGCTAGTCGAGGTAATTGAGGTAATATGTACATGTGGGTAGAGTTAAAGTGACTATGCATAAATAATAAACAGAGTAGCAGCAGCGTAAAAGAGGAAAGAGGGGGGTGGGGCTGTTGAGAAGCCTTTTGGACCTAGACTTGGCGCTCCGGTACCGCTTGCCATGCGGTAGCAGAGAGAACAGTCTATGACTAGGGTGGCTGGAGTCTTTGACAATTTTTAGGGCCTTCCTCTGACACTGCCTGGTATAGAGGTCCTGGATGGCAGGTAGCTTGGCCCCAGTGATGTACTGGGCCGTACGCACTACCCTCTGTAGTGCCTTGCGGTCGGAGGCCGAGCAGTTGCCATATCAGGCGTTGATGCAACCAGTCAAGATGCTCTCGATGGTGCAGTTGTAGATCCTTTTGAGGATCTGAGGACCCATGCCAAATCTTTTCAGTCTCCTGAGGGAGAATAGGCTTTGTCGTGCCCTCTTCACGACTGTCTTGGTGTGTTTGGACCATGATAGTTCGTTGGTGATGTGGACACCAAGGAACTTGAAGCTCTCAACCTGTTCCACTACAGCCCCGTCGATGAGAATGGGGGCGTGCTCAGTCCCCTTTTTTTTCCTGTAGTCCTCAATCATCTCCTTTGTCTTGATCACGTTGAGGGAGAGGTTGTTATCCTGGCACCACACGGCCAGGTCTCGGACCTCCTCCCTATAGGCTGTCTCATCGTTGTCGGTGATCAGGCCTATCACTGTTGTGTCGTCAGCAAACTTAATGATGGTGTTGGAGTCGTGCCTGGCCATGCAGTCATGGGTGAACAGGGAGTACAGGAGGGGACTGAGCACGCACCCCTGAGGGCCCCCGTGTTGAGGATCAGCGTGGCAGATGTGTTGTTACCTACCCTTACCACCTGGGGGTGGCCCTTCAGGAAGTCCAGGATCCAGTTGCAGAGGGAGGTGTTTAGTCCCAGGATCCTTAGCTTAGTGATGAGCTTTGAGGGCACTATGGTGTTGAACGCTGAGCTGTAGTCAATGAACAGCATTCTCACGTAGGTGTTCCTCTTGTCCAGGTGGGAAACGGCAGTGTGGAGTGCAATAAAGATTGCATCATCTGTGGATCTGTTGGGGCGGTATGCAAATTGGAGTGGGTCTAGGGTTCCTGGGATAATGGTGTTGATGTGAGCCATGACCAGCCTTTCAAAGCCCTTCATGGCTACAGACGTGAGTGCTACGCGTCGGTAGTCATTTAGGCAGGTTATCTTAGTGTCCTTGGGCACAGGGACTATGATGGTCTGCTTGAAACATGTTGCTATTACAGACTCAGTCAGGGACATGTTGAAAATGTCAGTGAAGACACTTGCCAGTTGGTCAGCACATGCTCGGAGTACTGGTAATCCGTCTGGCCCTGCGGCCTTGTGAATGTTGACCTGCTTAAAAGTCTTACTCACATCGGCTACGGAGAGAGTGATCACATAGTCATCCGAAACAGCTGGTGTTCTCACGCATGCTTCAGTGTTGCTTGCCTCGAAGTGAGCATAGAAGTGATTTAGCTCGTCTGGTAGGCTTGTGTCACTGGGCAGCTCGAGGCTGTGCTTCCTTTTGTAGTCTGTAATAGTTTTCAAGCCCTGCCACATCCGACGAGTGTTAGAGCCGGTGTAGTACGATTCAATCTTAGTCCGGTATTGACTCTTTGCCTGTTTGATGGTTTGTCGGAGGGCATAGCAGGATTTCTTACAAGCGTCCGGGTTAGAGTCCCGCTCCTTGAAAGTGGCAGCTCTAGCCTTTAGCTCAGTGAGGATGTTGCCTGTAATCCATGGCTTCTGGTTGGGGTATGTACGTACGGTCACGTTATCGATGCACTTATTGATGAAGCCAGTGACTGATGTGGTGTACTCCTCAATGCTATCTGAAGAATCCCGGAACATATTCCAGTCTGTGCTAGCAAAACAGTCCTGTAGCTTATTAAGGTGCAATCTTACTAGCAGCAATATCCTTGCCTGTGAAGCCCTTTTTGTACAAGCAATGATGACGGCACGTGTTTCCTTGCAGGTAACCATGGTTAACAGAGGAAGAACAATGATTTCAAGCACCACCCTCCTTTTAAAGCTTCCAGTCTGTTATTCTAACTCAATCAGCATGACAGAGTGATCTACAGCCTTGTCCTCGTCAACACTCTCACCTGTGTTAACGAGAGAATCACGGACATGTTGGCAGCTGGTCCTTTTGTGGCAGGGCTGAAATGCAGTGGAAATGTTTTTTGGGGATTAAGTTCAATTTCATGGCAAAGAGGGACTTTGCAATTAATAATCTGATCACTCTTCATAACATTCTGGAGTATATGCAAATTACCATCATCAAAACTGAGGCAGCAGACTTTGTGAAAATTAGTATTTGTGTCATTCTCAAAACTTTTGACCACGACTGTAGTTTTAGTCAGTAGTAGGATAACTAAGTGGGACTTCACCCCTTCACCCCAGGGAGTTGTGCACCCTTGGCATAAGAAATGTTGAATGGAGAGAGCCTGAGTTGTTGACATTATGTAGATAATCCCTTTCATGACCCTCCTAAAACACATTGGCGCAGGCTTATTAGATCCATTCCCCTCTGACAGTGAGTGAGGAGACAGAGAGTCGCACCCAGGGGTAAAGAATGGGCAACCCAGAGGATAGGCCTACAGGCTCTTCATATAAAAATTCCTCACTACCTCTCTATTGCGTCAATCTTTCTATTAGAACTCCATCACTCCCCTCAGATGCAGGAGCCACAGTGTCAACATGTAAGTGAATGTTATATGCCCATAGATGTACGTAGAAGTTGAAGTCACATCAAAATAACCTTATGAACATATCAGGTATCAGTAAACCATGGCTCCGACAGTGGGGTAACCAGAAAGGTCATGTTTTGGAGTTTGGGTCTGGAACTAAAAGTTTACCCCTCGTTCATACAGTAGCTGAGGAGTTGCTTAGCAGTTTCTGCGGTGAATGTACATGCTGTCCCTGCACATAGCTGAGCGGTGCGATTACTATGGAGAAGACAAAGCGCACCAGTATGTGACAAGACTGCAGAGGCCAAGCTCTGAATAAACCCCATCGTTGCCGCGCCCAGAGTCATCCACCAACTACTTGCCATTTACGTCTTGGAGCTATAAATACAGATAATTAAGATTTACCCTCTCCAGGTCCCAGGGCAACAGAGGAGCAACACCACTGCCCCAACCATGCTAATGAACTACTTCTCATCCCATGGATAAGGCTTACTGCTTGATAAGTTCTAGAATGGATCAGCTGGGTGTATAAAGGGTGTGAGTGATGCTCCACAGCGGAACAAAGTCTGATTGTCCAGAGCAATCCTTCCCACTATGACGCAGCCTTCCTGAACTGTTTGGGGGAAAATATTGCTGCCCTTTTGTGTGGTGAGGCTAAGTCATTAAACCTGACTTAGTAATTGTAATTAGACAGAGATTGGATTAAATTATCCAGTCAGGGGAAAACCAAGAGAGGAAACAGGTTTCCCCCCCCTAGTACCACTCTCGGGCCATTCTGAAGTCATGGCTGACCACAACAAGGTATTACCGCGTCCTCTTTTCCGCCGAGATGCAAACTGGGATCCTTTCCGTGAGTGGACACGGCCTAGCCGCATGATCATGGAGCAGGACTTTGGCCTCCCTCCTTTCCTGGATCCAGGCGATGTGAGCTGGATAGACTGGGCTAGGAGGAGACTGGCATCATCCTCCTGGCCAGGGTACACACGCCATGGCACTGCTCCCCCTGCTGCAGTGGCACCCCAGACCTCAGCCAGACTTCAGAGACAACTGTCTGGAGGAGTGTCAGAGATCAGGACAGGACAGGACAGCTGGAGGATCACACTGGATGTCAATCACTTCTCACCAGAGGAGATATCAATCAAAACCAAGGGGGGCTTCCTGGAGATTACAGGTACGAACGTTATTTCTCTGATCTGAGACAGCAGAATATGGTGGCAGTTTGAACATTCATTGTTACTTAAAAGGTTTGACAATTAACTGTTGAAATATTTTATAGCGGTCTCAAGTCCACACTACTTCAATTATTGTCTCAACTTATATTTTAAGGTCAACATGAAGAAAGGGAGGACGAACATGGATCAGTCTCAAGGTGCTTTACAAGAAAATACAAGTAAGTTGTAATGGTGGAATAGAAAATAAGGTCCCTCACAATGCTATGACAAAGACATACCGGCAATGAAACTAAGAACTCAAAAAATAATGTGTGGAATTGAAAGTCTTTGCTGTTGATTGCTATAGGAAGACATTCTAAATAGTTTCCCACGGTTTACTTACATTTGTAAAAACAGATGACAAGCAGTCTATTGTATCACAGTAAACAAGTCCTTGCCTGTCTGTGTTGTAAACAGATTATTGTTGTTTGTTTGTTGAAGGCTGCCCCCTGGTGTGGACTTGCAGCACGTCAGCTCGTCTCTGTCTGGTGAAGGGGTTCTCTTAGTAGAAGCACCCCTCCCAGGCTCAACCACCACCATCCTCCCCAGTGACATGGTCATCCCCATTCAGATCAAGCACAAGCAGGAAGGGAAAGAGTGAATCCAGTTGACCAGAAGTCATGATCCATTACAATTAGATGTAAAGCTTGGGGTAGAGCTTAAAAGTTGATGTCGGTGTTGACAACTTTTGACAAAAAATTTGAATTAAGTCTTGGTCATTTAAAATGACAAATGTAGTGGCTTCTATAGCTATTGAAACACCATAACTTTATTTACTCTCACTGTAACCACAAGCGTGGCATGTTTTTCTATGTATTATGTTAAATCATTTCCCACAAGGACTAGCAAAACCAAGATAAACTGAAAAATCAAGACTGTTGAAATGTACTTTCTCATTTGTCAAATTATAGATAATCTGGGAGGAAACATGACCATGCTTAAGAATGCTGGAACAGTTCTGCAAAGCATACTTTTCAACGTTATTTATTTCTATGAATATAATCTCTTTTGAATCAAAGCAATAAACATTCCATGGCAAAATGACCCATATTGAGGGGGGCTGGGGCTCTTATGTATGCAGTGTCTGTCTTTGTATAAAAACTGCTGCCTGTGCACACACATTACTTACTCTAAAAACTGGAAGAATCTACTGGGAATTAGACCTGGAAGTAGTAGAACGTTTTTTAATTAGCCCAAACCAAAAGAGCTACTGTGTAAATACAGTGTAAAGTGAAGTCATTTCCATTTTAGTTATTTATCAGACACTCTTATTCAGAGGAACTTACTGTTAGTGCATTCACTAACTGAATGCACTAGGTACAACGACCACATCAGTCAAAGTAAGTAAACTTCCTCAAACTTCCTCAATAAAGCAGGTGAGTGTTAGTGCAAGAAAGGTAAGTACAACGCTTGGGTGTGGGTTTCCCCCCATTCTCTTCTCTCATTTCCCTCAAACTCTTGCTTACTTGACCCAAATTGACCCTAAAGGACTTGGCAAATGTTCCTGATTGTGTCACTGTTGCCCTGCATTTGCCTTCAAGTTTGACAGCTTTATGCTAAGAACTCTGTTTAAATACATTAGAGATATACTTCTAACCCTCTCAGGGCGTCCCTTACAAAAAGGCATGAGTGTACACAGCGTTTGGTCAGTAGAGACGGTGAGCAACATCGATGGATACCTCCAGCCTGAAATCATCTAATGGTACTGTACAACCTCAGATTTCGGCTGAGGCTGTTAAATGTGTTTACTATGGCACCACAAAAAAATATTTTCTATTGTATTAATGAATTCATGTTAAAGACAGTGCAAGTAATCTACTCTCTGAATTTTCACATGACAGTTTTACAATGGTCTGCAATCTCTGGAAAATATTTAATCTCTCCTGTACTTGTACTAGGTGTCACATCAAATCAACAAATAGGGATTTACACCCATTAACCACTGGAAGTCCCAGGAGTGCAGTCTGTGTCAGCTGAATATCATGTTTGCATTAGTTATCCTTTCCAAATATGACTGACTATTTCTGGCAGTATAAGAATCCATAAGACTTGTGGAACCTTGCCAAGGTGCGGCCGTTTCTCTCTCAGGCTGATACAGAGAGACTCATCCATGCTTTTATTACAAGCAGGATTGACTACTGTAATGCTCTCCTGTCTGGTCTACCTAAGAAAGCCATTGGTCAACTGCAAAACATACAGAATGCTGCAGCACGGGTACTGACCAAGACCAGACGGAGAGCACACATTACACCGGTTTTAAGGTCTCTACACTGGCTACCTAGAATTCATTTTAAGATTATTATATTGGTTTTAAAACAATCCATGACTGTGTGTATGTGTGTGTATGTGGTGGGGGGGGGGGGACGGGACGGACATATTTAAAAGAGATCTTAACACACACCTTTTTAGCTTTGCTTTTCCTTAGGGTGCTTTTTAGTCGTTCAGTTTTGATAGTTATTCTTTTGTTTTTATCCTCTTATGTTTGTTGTGTAGCAAATATTTCACTGTTGGAAAAATGAATTGTGTCATGCACAAAGGAGATGTCCTAACCGACTTGCCAAAACTAGTTTTAATGACTCCAACCTAAGTGTATGTAAACTTCCGACTTCAACTGTACATATATGGACAAGCAATGACAGAGCGGCATGGACTAAGATACAGTAGAATATTATAGAATAAAATGCAGTATATACATATGAGATGAGTAGTGCAAGATATGTAAACATTATTAAAGTGACTAGTGTTCCATTTCTTAAAGTGGCCAGTGATTTCAATAGGCAGCAGCAGCCTCTAATGTGCTAGTGATGGCTATTTAACAGTCTGATGGCCTTGAGATAGAAGCTGTTTTTCATTCTCTCGGTCCCAGCTTTGATGCACCTGTACTGACCTCGCCTTATGGACGATAGCGGGGTGAACAGGCAGTGGCTCGGGTGGTTGATGTCCTTGATGATCTTTTTGGCCTTCCTGTGACATTGGGTGCTGTATGTGTCTTGGAGGGCGGGTAGTTTGCCCCCGGTAATGCGTTCGGCAGACCGCACCACCCTCTGGAGAGCCCTGCGGTTGCGGGCGGTGCAGTTGCCGTACCAGGTGGTGATACAGCCCGACAGGATGCTCTCAATTGTGCATCTGTAAAAGTTTGTGAGGGTTTTAGGTGCTAAGCCGAATTTCTTCAGCCTCCAGAGGTTGAAGAGGCTCTGTTCGCCTTCTTCACCACATTGTCTGCGTGGGTGGACAATTTCAGTTTGTCGGTGATGTGTACGCCAAGGAACTTGAAGCTTTCCACCTTCTCCACTGCGGTCCCGTTGATGTGGATAGGGGGGTGCACCCTCTGCTGTTTCCTGAAGTCCACGATCATCTCGTTTGTTTTGTTGATGTTGAGTGAGTGGTTTTTTTTCCTGGCACCACACTCCCAGAGCCCTCACCTCCTCCCTGTAGGCGGTCTCGTCATTGTTGGTAATCAAGCCTACTACTGTTGTGTCGTCTGCAAACTTGATGATTGAGTTGGAGGCGTGCTAGGCCACGCAGTCATGGGTGAACAGGGAGTACAGGAGGGGGCTGAGCACGCACCCTTGTTGGGCCCCAGTGTTGAGGATCAGCGAAGTGGAGATGTTGTTTCCTACCTTCACCACCTGGGGGCGGCCCGTCAGGAAGTCCAGAACCCAGTTGCACAGGGCGGGGTTCAGACCCAGGGCCTCAAGCTTAATGATGAGCTTGGAGGGTACTATGGTGTTGCATGCTGAGCTATAGTCAATTAACAACATTCTTACATAGGTATTCCTCTTGTCCAGATGGGATAGGGCAGTGTGCAGTGTGATGGCGATTGCATCGTCTGTGGATCTATTGGGGTGGTAAGCAAATTGAAGTGGCTCTAGGGTGACAGGTAAGGTAGAGGTGATATGATCCTTGACTAGTCTCTCAAAGCACTTCATGATAATAGAGGTGAGTGCTACAGGGCGATAGTCATTTAGTTCCGTTACCTTTGCTTTCTTGGGTACAGGAACAATGGTGGCCATCTTGAAGCATGTGGGAACAGCAGACTGGGAAAGGGAGAGATTGAATATGGCCATAAACACACCAGCCAGCTGGTCTGCGCATGCTTTGAGGATGCGGCTAGGAATGCCGTCTGGGCCGGCAGCCTTGCGGGGGTTAACATGCTTAAATGGTCGGCCATGGAGAAGGAGAGGCCACAGTCCTTGGTAGTGGGCCTCGTCAGTGGCACTGTGTTATCCTCAAAGCAGGTGTTTAGCTTGTCTGGAAGCGAGACGTCGGTGTCGACGACGTGGCTGGTTTTCCTTTTGTAGTCCGTGATTGTCTGTAGACCCTGCCCCATACGTCTCGTGTCCGAGCCGTTGAATTGCGACTCCACTTTGTCTCTATACTGATGTTTTGCCAGTTTAATTGCCTTACGGAGTGAGTAGCTACACTGTTTGCATTCTGCCATATTCCCAGTCACCTTGCCATAGTTGAATGCGGTGGTTCGCGCTTTCAGATTTGTGCGAATGCTGCCATCTATCCACGGTTTCTGGTTAGGGTATGTTTTAATAGTCACAGTGGGCACAACATCACCTATACACTTCCTGATAAACTCAGTCACCGTTTCAGTGTATTCATCTACCCGGAACATATCCCAGTCCGCGTTATCAAAACAATCTTGAAGCGTGGATTCCGATTTGTCAGACCAGCGTTGAATAGTCCTTAGCACGGGTACTTCCTGTTTGAGTTTCTGCCTATAGGAAGGGAGAAGCAAAATGGAGTCGTGGTCAGATTTGCCGAAAGGAGGGCGGGGGAGGGCCTTATAACCATCCCGGAAGTTCGAATAGCAATGGTCGAGGATTTTGGCAGCGCGAGTACAACAGTCGATATGTTGATAGAACTTGGCAGCCTAGTCCTCAAGTTTGCTTTGTTAAAATCCCCGGCTACAATAAATGCAGCCTCAGGATATGTGGTTTCCAGTTTGCATAAGGTCCAGTGAAGTTCTTTGAGGGCAGTCGTGGTATCGGCTTGAGGGGGGATATACATGGCCGTGACTATAACCAAAGAAAATTATCTTGGGAGATAATACGGTCGGCATTTGATTGTGAGATATTCTAGGTCGGGTGAACAGAAGGACTCGAGCTCCTGTATGTTAGCTAACCCTTCCCCTAACCCTAACCTTAACCCTTTTAGCTAACCCTTCCCCTAACCTTAACCCTTTAACCTAACTCCTAAACTACAACCTAACTTTAACCCTAACCCCTAATTCCTAGCCTAGCTAACGTTAGCCAGCTAGCTAATGTTAGCCACCCAGCTAGAATTCGTAACATATCATACGTTGAGCAAATTTGTAATATGCATACATATAATGAGTCGGACCGCAGTGTGAAGGAAAAGCAGCCAACAAGTGCTCAGCATATGTGAGAACTCCTTCAAGACTGTTGGAAAAGCATTCCAGGTGAAGCTGGTTGAGAGAATGCCAAGAGTGTGCAAAGCTGTGATCAAGGCAAAGGGTGGCTATTTGAAGAATCTCAAATATAACATATATTTTGATTTGTTTAACACTTTTTTGGTTACTACATGATTCCATATGTGTTATTTCATAGTGTTGATGTCTTCACTATTATTCTACAATGTAGAAAATAGTAAAAATAAAGAAAAACCTTTGAATGAGTAGGTGTGTCCAAACTTTTGACTGGTACTGTATATATATATATATATATGTGTGTGTGTGTGTTGCTTCAATGGCCTGGGCTATTGTTTGTTTAAATTCAAACCAGATTAATCTCAGTTTGTCAGTGTCAGAGTAGCCACTCATTTCAGTCATTTGTGTGGTATTAAAAAAGAGTCAGCTAATGTCTTCTGTCATGTAAATGAGGTAGAACTGCAGCAAATGTGTTTTTAAAAGCCAGATTTTATTCCAGAACCTGCTAATCCAAAAAACGCCTTTGCTCAACTGTAGTCTATACCACATTGCAAATGTTATTATGGGTTTATTATAAAGGGGCTTTTTCTTCAACAGTAAATTCACCATGCATCGAATTGCATCTTGGTTCACGGATTAGTTTACAGACAATTTTGGTGTGTTTTATTATGATAAAAAAAAAGAACCTGGGACCTATGATTTCTTAATCCGGCCCTGAGTATTGTGGAATATTGAACTGAGCTCAATCAAGTGAATTCGTCAGGAAGCTTGTTAAGAAGGATGAGGAGATGTAGCACTAGCAGATAAAGAGGGTGATTAACTCCATGCAGAGCACATCCATTAACTATTTTGTCCCCCAAAATGATCAACCTTTGGAGTAAAATATAACCGAACACAAGAATATTGTGTCTGCACAAATGAGAAGAATGGGTGGATAGATGGCCTTCCAGATTTTTCAAATGACACATTTCTGACAAGACACTCAGCTACAGCTGCTGCAGCAGTGTCAGTGATCTAGGATTCCACACGTTCTTGACACTGAAAAAGGATTAGTGCCCTCTGGTTGCTCTTTAAGCTCAATAATAAAGAAGCAGCTCAGCCTACTAAACTATAAGATTTCACCTTCCTTATAACTGTAAAATACATATTTGTATATTTACTGTTACATTTAGAAAAGGTGCATATTAGGCCTCCTGAGCGGTGAAGCGGTCTAAGGCACTGCATCGCAGTGCTTGAGGTGTCACTACAGACCTGTGTTCGATCCCAGTGTTCGATCCCAGGCTGTGTCACAACTGGCCGTGACCGGGAGTCCCATAGGGCGGCACACAATTGGCCCAGCATCAATGTAGTTCTGGGCTGATTCCTCACTGTTCTCATGATCATTGCAACTCCACGAGGTGAGATCTTGCATGGAGCCCCAGGCCGAGGGAGATTGACAGTTATTTTGTGTTTCTTCCATTTGCGAATAATCGCACCAACTGTTGTCACCTTCTCACCAAGCTGCTTGGCGATGGTTTTGTAGCCCAATCCAGCCTTGTGTAGGTCTACAATCTTGTCCCTGACATCCTTGGAGAGCTCTTTGGTCTTGGCCATGGTGGAGAGTTTGGAATCTGATTAATTAATTGCTTCTGTGGACAGGTGTCTTTTATACAGGTAACAAGCTGAGATTAGGAGCACTCCCTTTAAGAGTGTGCTCCTAATCTCAGCTCGTTACCTGTATAAAAGACACCTGGGAGCCAGAAATCTTTCTGATTGAGAGGGGGTCAAATATTTTTGCTGGCACAATGCTCTTAACCACTAAGCTACCTGCTGCCCTGAACATGGCATAAGTCAATGCAAAATGTGCAGACTTGCAGGAAATTAGCTTAAAAACTGCACAATTTTCTCAAGGGAACATCGACAGATTATTCACCTTTTCAGCTCAGGTATTCAAACCAGCAACCTTTCGGTTACTGGCCCAACACTCTAACCGCTAGGCTACCTGACCCCTAGCAAGCTCATTTTCAGCTCATTGTATCTTGTTAGGCCATGTCTACACTTACATGCGACTTCTGCTATCAGAATACAAAAATCTCATTAGAAAGACAGGTCGGATTGTGGTCGGATTGTGTTCAGATTGTGTGTCGGATTTCTCCTCAGTCTGGACGCAATCATGCTACCGCAAGCGCATACAGTGGGCGACATTACCAAGTCTCCAGAAAACGTGTATTTTAGGAGCGAGAGGCACCTTTTTTAATTAAACGTTATCCTAACCTGCTTGCAATCCCTTTAGTTTTGATAGCTTGTCACACCCTGGCTCTGGGGACTCTATATGTTGAGCCAGGGTGTGTAGATTCATTGTGTTTGTGTGCTGTGGTTGAGTGTCTAGTTGTTCTATTTCTATGTTGGCTAGAGTGGCTCCCAATCAGAGGCAACGAGTGTCAGCTGTTGCTGGTTGTCTCTGATTGGGAGCCATATTTAAACAGTCTGTGTTCCCACAGGTGTTGTGGGATCTTGTTTCCGTTTGGTTTGTTTCCGTGTTGGTTGTGTTAACCGTAGGACTGCACGTTTCGTTTGTTGTTTTGTTGTTTATATTATCACTAAAGATAATAAACATTAAGTATGTTTGCAACTAACGCTGCGCATTGGTCTACTCCGTCTAACGATCGTGACAGAAGATCCCACCATACCAGGACCAAGCAGCGTGTCCAGGAGCAGGCAGCCTGGACGTGGGAGCAAATATTGGACGGGCAGGGGTCCTGGACCTGGGAGGAAATCCAGGCCGGGATGGATCGCCGTCCATGGAGTGAGACGGTAGAGGCGCGACGGAGAGAGGAGCAACGGCGTCAACAGTGTCGTCGTCGGACGGACGAGAGGCAACCCCAAAAAATGTTTAGGGGGGGGCATACGGCATGGTCGACGGGGCAGCAGGAGGCAGCTACAGGGCGTAGTAGGAGGTTAGGTGAGGAGGCCACCAGGTTAAGGGGGCTATTGGCGCAGAGGGAGCAGGAGTTAGTGGTGCAGAGGGTGGAGCTATTGGAGGCGATAAGGGAGAAGGTGAGAATTGAGGCACGGCGAGAGGAACTCGGTAGGCAGCTGAGGGAGCGGAGGGTTATGACGAAACCCAGTCCCGCTCCTCACACCAAGCAAGTGGTGTGCGTCACCAGTCCGGTCCGGCCCGTTCCTGCTCCCCACACTAAGTGGATGGTGCGCGTCGCCAGCCCGGCCCGGCCTGTTCCTGCTCCTCGCACCAAGCCTACGGTGTGCGTCGCCAGCCTGGCCCGGCCTGTTCCTGCTCCTCGCACCAAGCCTACGGTGTGCGTCGCCAGCCCGGCCCGGCCTGTTCCTGCCCCTCGCACCAAGCCTACGGTGCGCGTCGCCAGCCCGGCCCGGCCTGTTCCTGCCCCTCGCACCAAGCCTACGGTGCGCGTCGCCAGCCCGGCCCGGCCTGTTCCTGCCCCTCGCACCAAGCCTACGGTGCGCGTCGCCAGCCCGGCCCGGCCTGTTCCTGCCCCTCGCACCAAGCCTACGGTGCGCGTCGCCAGCCCAGCCCGGCCGGTTCCTGCTCCTCGCACCAAGCCTACGGTGCGCGTCGCCAGCCCGGCCCGGCCTGTTCCTGCCCCTCGCACCAAGCCTACGGTGCGCGTCGTCAGCCCGGCCCGGCCTGTTCCTGCCACTCGCACCAAGCCTACGTTGTGCGTCGCCAGCCCGGCCTGTTCCTGCTCCTCGCACCAAGCCTATGGTGCGCGTCGCCAGCCCGGCCCGGCCTGTTCCTGCTCCTCGCACCAAGCCTATGGTGCGCGTCGCCAGCCCGGCCCGGCCTGTTCCTGCTCCTCGCATCAAGCCTAAGGTGTGCGTCGCCAGCCCGGTCCGGCCCGTTCCTGTTCCACGCACCAAGCCAGGGGTGCGCATCGTCAGCCCGGTACGGCCCGTTCCGGCTCCACGCACCAAGCCAGGGGTGCGCATCGTCAGCCCGGTCCGGCCCGTAGCTGCTCCACGCACCAAGCCAGGGGTGCGCATCGTCAGCCCGGTCCGGCCCGTCCCTGCTCCACGCACCAGGCCAGGGGTGTGCGTCGTCAGTCCAGCACAACCCGTGCCTGGGTCACCGGTGCCTGGTCAGGTACCGGTCAGCTGCTCCACACCGGAGCTGAAGCAATCCGCTTCTACGATGTCCAGTCCAGCTCCGGTCAGCGGGGCCAGACCGGACCAGGGGCGCCACGGGGGGATGGTTGAAGGGTGGTGGTCTAGCCCAGAGCCGGAACCGCCTCCGAGGAGGAATGCCCACCCAGCCCTCCCCTGGGTTGTTGATGTTTAGGCGCGGTCGCAGTCCGCGCCTTTAGGGGGGGGGTACTGTCACACCCTGGCTCTGGGGACTCTATATGTTGAGCCAGGGTGTGTAGATTCATTGTGTTTGTGTGCTGTGGTTGAGTGTCTAGTTGTTCTATTTCTATGTTGGCCAGAGTGGCTCCCAATCAGAGGCAACGAGTGTCAGCTGTTGCTGGTTGTCTCTGATTGGGAGCCATATTTAAACAGTCTGTGTTCCCACAGGTGTTGTGGGATCTTGTTTCCGTTTGGTTTGTTTCCGTGTTGGTTGTGTTAACCGTAGGACTGCACGTTTCGTTTGTTGTTTTGTTGTTTATATTATCACTAAAGATAATAAACATTAAGTATGTTTGCAACTAACGCTGCGCATTGGTCTACTCCGTCTAACGATCGTGACATAGCTAGCTTGCTGGCTAGTTACAGAGGTTAGCTGGCTAGTTAGCTACAGTAGTTGGCAACTGCCATCAAGTTGTTGTTGTGTTATTATCAGATTTAGCCTGTCCACCGTTGACAGAATGCATACTGCATTTGAATATAGCACGGAAAAAGGGAATCCAGACACAACGTGGACACGGTAGACACATTTAAATGTAGGTGTAGACGCATGACTGGTTCGGAATTCCATGATCAGAACTCCATGATCAGAATATAATATATATAATATAATTAGGCAATAAATCCTTCTAATCATTCATATCAAACATAAAAATAGACAATACATATTTGACTCATATCAGTGATGACCTTGTTTGCCTTCTCTGCATTTCTGACTTCCTGAACAGTGTCTTCCACTTCACCTTGTATCTGAACCAAGTCAGCCTCAAGCTTCTTCTTGGTGCTCAGTAGGCATGTGTTCTACACAAATCATGTAAAGAATAAGTTCCTGTGTTCATAAAAATTAGGACAAACGTCAACAAACGGTATGAACAAAATGACTCTTCCTGAGAGTGCAGCAGTCCAACACGTTCACTGGCATCCACCAGCTCCTGCTCAGCCACTTTGCGGCCTCTCTCTGTCTGGTCCAGAGCAGCCCTCAGCTCCTCAATCTCAGCCAACATCAAGTTGTTCCTGCGCTCCACCATGGCTGTCTGTTCCTTCATGTTATCCTGTCCTCTGATTGCATCATCAAGGTGCAGTTGGGCATCCTAATAATAAATAGGTTATAGACTATTTAGCAAACGTGGGAAGTCATTAAGTTATTGACTTCGTAAACAAATTTTGACAAAAAAAAATGAAGCTTAAAGTGGCAATATGTAACTTTTTGGGCGACCCGACCAAATGCACATAGAAATGTGAGTTATAGATCTATCATTCTACTTGAAAGCAAATCTACGAAGCGGTATATCTGTTCTATGTGCGCTATTTCTATGCTTCCCATTACTTTTACTTTCGGTTTTGTACACCAACTTCAAACAGCTGAAACAACAATATTTTGGGTTATGGAAAATATATTTCACAGCAGTTTAGATGGTAAAATGATTCTCTACACTATACTAGTTTATTTTGTCACATAAACTGAAATTAGGCGAACTATTAGCGTTTTAGCAACCAGGAAATGGCAGAGCGATTTCTGCATAGTTCAACTTTAAGCAGCTTGTCGGTTGGCATGGCTTAGCTGGATCTCCATCTCATTGAGATCTCCCTCCACCTTCTTCTTGACTCTCAGGGCATCATTTCTGCTCCTGATCTCAGAGTCCAGATTGCTCTGCATGGTGTCAATCACCCTCTGGCTGTTCCTCCTAATCCTTCTCTGCAAGCTTTCTGTTGACTTCACCCTTGACCTGGTTGACCTCCAGCTGAACACGCAGAATCTTGGATTTCTCATGTTCCGTAGCTTTTTATTACACAAGAAACAAAGAAGTTGAACAAAATGATATACATTTTTGACTAAGCTTGCTCGGCCTATTCATGCAAATGTTTTTATATTTAATATTTCACAATATTAAAGTGTTGGACACTGTTAAACATATAGGTCATAGAAAGTAGTACCAGCAGTGTGGCAGCTTCTTCAGAAGTGGTTGAATAAGCGCAAGCCTGATGTCAGGTAACAAGTTATAGGCACAGAAGAGGAAATCACTGACTTGAAGAAGATCTATAAGTCCGTCAGGGAACACAAACATGAGCATGACAGTTAAAATAAATAGTGTTTGAGTTAAGGATTACATTTTACATTTCAGTCATACCTTATTCGGGCATAGTAATAGGTTATCCATTTAGATAAAGAATTAGAGGACTGTTTGCTTGGTTCTTAGCTCTATTACAGTTGACTGAGGATGTTGACTTGAAATGTATTCTCTTTGATCACTGCTATGATTGTGGGTCACTGAAACCCCTGTTTAGAGACCTTTATGCTACGCTATTGACCCATCCAGTGGTTTGTTGTGACAAGCGTTGCTACTTGGGGCCTTCACATGCTCCCGGTAGTAATTTAATTGGCCATTTGTACCACAAAGTGAGTAACATAATATGAAATTGCAATATGTAGAGTAATTGTTAACACTGTGTGATGCGTGATTTGAAGGAGTCAGGCGCAGGAGGGTAAATCACAGTATACAGAGTTTATTCCGTAATCCAGTGTAACCAGTCCAGTGCGCAAAACAGGCGCATTGGAACAAACATGCACACCGGGACAATACAAAATACTGAGCTCAACCGAGGTACTAATCCTCACAATGAACAATCACCCACAAGGACAAGGGGGCAGAGGGAACACTTATACATGGACTAATGAGGGGATATGCACCAGGTGTGTGTAATAGACAAGACAAGACAAATGGAATTATGAGATATGGAGCGGCAGTGGCTAGAAGGCCGGTGACGACGAACGCCGAAGCCTGCTCGAACAAGGAGGGGAGGCAGCTTTGGAGGAAGTCGTGACACACTGTATAATCATTTTAATGAATAAGCATGCATAGATATTATACATATTTATAACTAGTGTACCTACAATTTCATTATTTATAAACATTTATAATAATTTATAAACATTATAAGAACCACAATTTATAAGCAATTATGGCATGTATAATAATTTATAAAACATGTATAAGCATTTACAATGGCTTATTCAGTAAAGTTATTGTAAAGGATAATATGTACAGTAGTTTACCTATTAGCCAGTCCTCTGAACTAGTATTAATTTTAAGTCGTTTTTACAATACTACTATTGTATTACTCTTTTATAATGACCTTGTTGATTATTCAGACATTTTTACAAATCTGTTTCAAGAATCAACATCATTTGAGCAAATTCATTATTTTAAGGAAGCCACACTAGATAATGAATGTAATCAAATAAAATGAAATGTTATTTGTCACATGCGCCGAGTACAACAGGTGTAGACCTTACTGTGAAATGCTTATTTACAAGCCCTTAACCAACAATGCAGTTCAAGAAATAGAGTTAAGAAAATATTTACAAAATAACTAAAGTAAAAAATAAAATAAAAAGTAACACAATAAAATAACAATAACGAGTAATTTGTACATGTAGGTAGGGGTAATGTTCAGGATTGGTATCGTTGTAAAGTATCCATCCAGTATTTGAAACATTGTAGTGTCTTTTTAGAGAGCTGGAGAGATGAATAGAAGGCACTAGAAACAATTAATTGGAATATATAAGAATTATCTAGCTGATTAGTAATGTCATAGGAGAATAATGCCTTGGATGGATCTGTGTTTGATTTGCATATTTTCACAGATCACATAATATATCATCATGGGAATACAGGAAAATGAATACCTCTCAAAATCTTTTTATTGTAATTTATTTGGAGGTAGGAGAGAAGGAGTGCAACAATATCTCTGTCATTTTCCTCCTCTTCTTTTTGTCTTGATTGTCTGTGATAGGCATTGCATAATTCACCCTTTCCCACCGGATCCATTTGGTTCCTCCTCCTCAGGAAGTGGAGACGCCAGAGACAAGGACTGCCTTCAGCTGCTGCCTTCCTGACGGTGCCTGCGATCGCTCTGCGATGCCCTGTTCATTTCTAGTGAGGAGCTGCAGGCAGTAGCGAGGGACCACGCAGGGGAAGGATGCATTTAAAGCAGGATGTGTGCTGGATGCTGGGAGACACGGCAGCGATAGCAGCAGCAGCAGCGAGCACGGAGGGCCTGGGAAGCGTCCACCCCCTCTCTCTCCTCCTTTTCCTCCCCCCCTGCAGGACCATGCTTGCGTGAGGGATGAGGCTGTGCACAGGGACGCCAGGCCAGAGCTGCGGCCTACTTCTTCTCACAAGAGCCGGGCTCTCGACTGCAAGATCTGTGAACGCTTTGCCACCATCAAATCAGCATCTTTGGTAGGCAGGCTCCCTCTCCCGCTGGGAGGGTCTCTCTCGCCATCCTCTCAGCTGCACATCTGTAGTCATGGCAACCGGATCCCGTTAATAAGTGTAATTTTTTCCATCCTCAGGTTCCCCCCTCTGCTTTTATGTGTGTGTAATTGTTTGGATTTCTATCAAATCTCTTTCTATATCTGTTTATCGTGATGTGTTTTTGTTATTGATTTACAAGCTGTGTGTAGACGTACCTTTAGCATTTTCATCCCAGAATAGTAGGCCTGCAAAACAGGCTCATACCTATTGAGCTCTCCATTTGTGGCTACATACAGTATGTACGTGACAGATGTATTAGCATGAAGAACACCACATTGACATTCAAGACACCCTTGCTATGTTCATGTATGTATTTATCGTAATTGATGATGCATGTGCTATGTTACTAGCATGAAATCTGAGCTGAGCAGCCATGATCATTTAGTGAAGAGGAGCAGTGTACATTATTTCCTGCCCTGGCTAATACTATCCACAGATACTGTAGCTAATAATCCTCAAGAATGTCCACCAATTAACAACTGTGCGTGTTTGTGTGTTTGCGTGTGCGTGTGCATGTTTGTATGTGTGAAAGTTATGACAGGATTTGTGACAGGTGGTCGGTCATAGAGGCCTTTTTAGTTATAGTTGATTGGACTTTACACATGTTGGACTTGAATGCTAATGAGATTATATTGAGTAAATTCTGGATGAATTTACTGTAGTTATACTACATTAAGGGTGATATTCAGAGACTGTGATCTAGAGTACGAGCAAATACATAGAACCAAATGAATACTGTAGTTACCCTTAGGTGTACAGTACATAGTCTTCGTGAGGTCTCTCTTCTCTATTTCACTTAAGGTATCCTTGCAAAGATAATCAAATATGTCAAGTTATGTGTCAGATTCACAAAGGACATTGTTCTACTATATTTTACAGTCTATTACTGAGTGCGACTAGGGTACTCGTGTTTCTCCCTTTGTGAGTCCATATTTAACATACATTTTAATTGTACAGCAGTCTTCTCAGGCCCTCTTGCTTTTCACCCCTGACTGTTCTCTCTGTGCCCTCCGACCCCTGACCCCTGTGTCCAGGTCACCAGGTAGATCCAGGAGCATGAGCAGGACTCTGAGCTGCGGGAGCAGATGTCTGGGTATAAGCGCACGCGGCGGCAGCACCAGAAGCAGCTGATCGCCCTGGAGAACAGGCTGAAGGCGGAGATGGACGAGCATAGGCTCCGGTTGCAGAAGGAAGTAGAGACCCACGCCAACAACACTTACATTGAACTGGAGAGACTGGCTAAACGGCACGCCGTTCACACAGACAAAGAGGTGAATAATGATGTTGCCTGGTAGGACAGTAGGTCCTGGTTGCTATGAATGAGATGTAAACTGAAGATGTTCCAGCCCCTTAATTATATAGCATCCTTAGCATTTTTCCCTTTCAGCATAATGTCAGAATTTTAAACAGTACATCAAAGGGAGGTGGTAAACAAAATAATTCTGGAACATTTAATATGTTCCCGTACAGATAAAGGCAGCTACAGCAGAGGAGAAGAGGATCCAGCAACAGATCATTGCCCAGCAAAAGAAGGAGCTGACCACCTTCATAGACAACCAGAAAAAAGAGTACAGGCTCTGTAAAGATAAGATCAAAGAGGTAAATGTACAAATCATTTACACATTTTTCCACTTTGTCTGTGATGAAACTGTTTGCATTTTCCATTGATTCCATGCATGACCCACTAAGCCCTGGTTCTTATCTGGATGTTGCAGGAGATGAATGAGGACCCCATTACGCCCAAGGAGGAGAAGCAGGAGCGTCTTTCCAGGCACAAGGAGACGGTGCAGCGCTCACAGGCTGAGGATGAGGCCCACCTCCTAGACCAGCAGAGGCTGGTCTATGACAGGAGCTGCCGGGCTCTGAAACGCAGGACACTGGTCAAGAGGCACGAGTTTGAACAGGAGCAAATGAGAGAGGTACAGTTCCTCTCTGATATTTAGTTTGCCAATGATGCTGATAGAATTGCCTCTAGAATTGTCACCCCAACCTCTTTTGTTAAATGGCCTAATTTGCATTGTAGAAATCTGAAGTACTGTATATTCGAAATGAAATGGGAAGATGAGGAATATGTCCCACCTCAGGAGCTGAATAAGAAGAAGACCCAGAAGGAGATGGAGCAGGCCCTGATGATCCGACAGGACGAGTCCACTCAGGAGCTGGAGCGCAGGCAGCTGCAGACGCTGCAGAGGCTCCGTGTTGAGCTGATCCGCCTGCAGCACCAGACCGAGTTGGAGAACCAGGAGGAGTACAACGGCCGGCGGCAGAGAGAGCTGCACAGAAAGCACGCCCTGGAGCAGCGGCAGCAGCCCCGGAACCTCAAGGTGCATAGAATCTATACTGCAGCTGCTGTGCTGTACATTTGGTTTAGTGTGTCTGCACATCTATGCAAAGACCCTTGAATTAAAGTCACACCCCTGGTCAGACTGAAGCTCAGCCGGCAGTCATAACCGGCAAAATGATTGTTTCTTACTGTATGTTTCTTACGATTGTTTCTTTCTATTTGTCCTTCTGGAGATGTTGGAGATGCAGATCAAGAAACAGTTCCAGGACACATGTAAGGTGCAGAACAAGCAGTACAAAGCCCTGAGGAACCATCAGCTTGAGGTTTCTCCTAAGAGCGAGCACAAGGCCATCCTAAAGTCACTGAAGGAGGAGCAGACACGCAAGCTCGCTGTGCTGGCCGAGCAGTACGAGCAGAGCATCAACGAGATGATGGCCTCACAAGCGGTAAGGGCACTACTCACCCTTAACCTCCAAACAGCTACACAATGCTTACTGGTACATGTATTATTTAACCCCCTCTCTCTCTCTCTCTCTCGCTTGTCTCTTTGGTCCCCCAGATGCATCTGGAGGAAGAGCAGGAAGGGGAGTGCCAGGCGTTGAAGCAGCAGCTGCAGCAGGAGATGGAGCTCCTGGATGCCTACCAGAGCAAGACCAAGGCCCAGACAGAAGCCCAACATGAGAGGGAGCTGCAGATGCTGGAGCAGAAGATCTCCTTATGCAGGTCCCACCTGGAACAGAAGGTATGTTTTGGTTATGTTGTAACACAGACTCACCTCTTTAGACTGAAACCGTCACTTATTTGATTATCACTATTGTGGATTCAGATTGAAGAGGAGCTGGCCTCACTTCAGAAGGAACGCACTGAAAGGATCAAGCAGCTTTTTGAACGGCAGGAGAGGGAGATGGACGCTTTCGATGCAGAGAGTGCTAGGCTGGGGTTTGGGAGCTTAGGTTCGCTGGACTTCCCCAAGGAGGACGACAGATGAAAATGGATGTGTGTGTGGAGGACTCTTCCCTTCTGGTGTATGGTGTAGACACATGTGCCTGCACTCTCACTGTTGACTTGACCATCGTCATCTCTACAGTGACAACGCTGGATAACCCTCTTTCTCTCTTTCTCTTTAGAGTCTTTTAGATACCACATCACAGCATAGAGCTGACATTTGCCATGGGAACTACTTTTCTTAAACTTAAAAAAAGGGGAAAATTAAACAAGATTAATTCACAACACAAGTTAACAAGTGTGTGTAACTCAAAAGTCATGCGTTGGAGATTACAAGAATAGAATACTTATAAAAAATAAGAACGGACTCTTTCCTCCATGCCATCATCCTCCTTTTGGTATGAATTCATTACATTCAGGAAATGTTAGTAAAGATTTGCACTTTGATATGTTTAAGTATTAACCCATCATGTTCATATGATGCTTAATGCGTATGTTACATGGAGGGCATTGTAATTGTGGAATGTGAGCTGCGGACTACACCGTGGTGTTTAGCTGCTTCTTCTTTCTTTTTTTCCTCGCAGAATGTGAATAATACTGGATGTGAATACTGTAAGCTAAAAGAAGGTATCGGGACGGTGTCAGATCTTAAACAGTTTTATAGAGAGATTTTACTTAATTCCATATTGTGCTAAAGCATATGGTCTTTCACTTTTTAAACTATTCCGGTACTTTATTTTTCATTGTTCAGTATTTAGGATTTATTGGCATCAGTTTGATCAAGCTGTGTATTTTATCAGAATGATGAAACTCCGTAAAACTGCTTATTATTGCATGCACTTTAAAGACACATTCAGGTTGTGAAGTAAAGCATGACTGTCAAGAGATTTTAGCCGTTTGTAAATAAAAGTGGTCATTGCATTTTTGTTTTAATGCCTATTGATAAGCGCCATATTTGATATGAAAATGTCACAAATGCCTTTATTTAAGTTGTGCCTATGAAGCTGTTTTGATTTGTCGTTGTTGTTCTTTCATGTTTGTTTAGCACGGCCAATACCATTGTTTGTTCCATCCAAATTTGTGAATCATTTAATGTTCACTAATCAAAGGTGAGAATTGTGTTGTATAACTTTTGATATAAATATTTGTATTTGAGAACATAAATAGGAGATACAGAAGCATTGGTCGATTACTGATGACAGAACTTCACATTATACTTGGAAATCTGTTTTTTTTCTTACAAATAGAACTGACATGGTAATACGGTAGATCAACATACTGAAAACTCGAATCACTGAAGACTTTTATCAGATTGTATAAAAACAAAGTTAAATGGTATCACAGAATTACTGTAAATGCATTTATTTATTTTTTTTGCTGTCTGGTAATAGTTAACCAGGCAGGTGGTTGCTTTGTCTGGGTTGCATTCAAGTCATAGCTGTTTAGTAACCAGATGTACAATGTTTTGCAGTGTTCACTGTTGTTATTGAACATAAGGTTGCAAAATGTGCCCATTACAGTGACTGGGAAGGAAATTGTTTGGTGCTTGATTTCTAATATCACCATCAGCCTTCATAGTCCTTTGACACAGACAGAAGACCAGATTGAATGCCTGTCTGGATGTTACAAACTATTTCAAAATGTCCAGGGTTAACAGTTTTGAAAGATTGTTTTATGTTGAGATCTTGAATGCAACACTGGTATTTTGACAGTTGCCTCCAAACCCACTCCCCAGTCCTGTTCCTCACACATTGATATCATTTAAGTGATGGAAATAATGCCCTTCCAAGTGATGGGCTGGGCAAGTGAGATTAAGAATGTTGAAATATCTGACACATAAATGCAACAAAGCTATGAAATTCGAAATACATTAATAAACAACTAATATTTTAAATGTAAGAAACCCAGTACGGCATTATTTATACCTCCAGACTCATGACTTGTGGCAAGACTTCAAGTGCCAAAGTTATACAGTAGGCCACAGTTTTGGAATTATTTGTTGTAAATTACTCCTTTGAACAGGGCATATTTTGAGGTTGGAAGGTTTTGGAGATTTATTGACGAATGGTTTAGATCCATTTGCTCTTTTCTCTGGGTTGGTTGAACTTGAGACTGGTTCAAACCTGTTATGAACCAAACTGTTTATGTGGACTTATGTTATCAAAAAAGGGGACTTCCCTAAACTAAACCACACAGCGTTTCCTGTGTGGTACAGAGATGAAATAAAATAGATTCTCTTGAAACAAGAGTTCTGCATCAACATCTTGCATCCAATGTCAGTGCTCCCCTGAATGAATGTGCAATTATTTTCTCATTTCCTGTATTATTACCGTATATGCTTTACATAAAGTATACACCCTGACAATTATGTAAGAAATACAAAAATAGTTACAGCATATTAGATTCACTAGAAGTGACAGTCCATATTCCCCACAGTGCTGTGTATGTGAACTGGTGGTGAGGGAAGTTACACGGCAGTGCTTCCTGTTTCCTCAATGCCCTGTGGTCTACCATCTTACCATGCAGACTGTGTATCTGTTTGATCTGGCTGTTGGGTAAGGACACTCATATGGTAGAGGGGTTGTGGCAGATCCGGTCTACCCTCACCTGAGTTGTGCTGACAGGGATGTGGTCGTATGAATTCCCCCGGACATTTCTCAAGCGGTCAGTCATCTGCTCCCCTCCAGAAACACTTCTGAGTTGAAAGGAGGAAATGTGGATCATAATCATGAAAAGTGAAATGAGTGTACTCTTTATATATAAGTGCATGTATTCTCACATAGCACAATGACTATACAGGAACCGAACCAGGATTCATGTTATTCATATTGAGTAAAGAAAGCAATGATGTGTAGGTGATTATGACACCCACAGGGAGGTCAAGGGAGCAAGTCCACACATCAAAGTCTGAGTCAAGCAGAAATGGAGCAACATACATAATTATACATTATGTCTTAGGTTAGCAAAATGGTTCTGTTAAAAATAACTGTTTTCAGTATTGACTGTTGCCGATGTAAGACCTTTAAACAGGTTAACATTCACAAGGCCACGGTGCCAGACAGATTAAATTTTAGTCATTTAGCAGACACTCTTATCCAGAGCGACTTACAGGAGCAATTAGGGTTAAGTGCCTTGCTCAAGGGCACATCGACAGATTTTTCACCTAGTTGGCTCGGGGATTAGAACCAGCAACCTTTCGGTTACTGGCACAACGCTCTTAACCACTAAGCTACCTGCCGCCCCAATTAGCAGGACGCGTACTCAGAGAATGCGCTGACCAGCTGGCAAGTGTCTTCACTGAAGTGTTCAACCTTTCCCTGACCCAGTCTGTAATACCTACATGTTTCAAGCAGACCACCATAGTCCCTGTGCCGAAGAACGCCAAGGTAACCTGCCTAAATGACTATCGCCCCGTAGCACTCACATCTATAGCCATGAAATGCTTTGAAAGGCTTGTCATGGCTCACATCAATACCATCATCCCAGACACCCTGGACCCACTCCAATTCATATACCACCAATGTTCCCTCAAAGAATGTTTGGCACTAAGACATTTTTGGGTCTGCTGAGCGCAAACTTCAACGATGTGAAAATTCTCTTCAACTTCCAGCTCGCATTTACTGTGAACACTGAGGCTGTACCCGCTTTAAGTTACAGTTTCAGACAGTGGTCAAGTAGGCTACTTTGGCTATTTGATCATAATGTAGGCCTACCAGAGTGGCCTACCATCAAAAACAATGGAAAAAATGCATCCCATAACACTTTAACATGGAAATAGCTGTTCTATCATTCAGCCTACAGAAGCAGCCAATGTGTTGTGTTCAATGTAGGTCTACATTCCATGAGACTTTTGAAAAACCCCACTAAGGAATGAATATGGTCCACACACACCAACACAGTCGTGAAGAGGGCACGACAATGCCTCTTCCCCCTGAGGAGGCTGAAAAAATGTGGCATGGACCCTCTGATCGTCAACAAGTTCTACAGACGCACCATCGAGAGCATCTTGACTGGCTGCATCACCACTTGGTATGGAAATTGCTTGGCATCCGACCGCAAGGCGCTACAGAGGGTAGTGCGTACAGCCCAGTACATCACTGGGGCCGAGCTCCCTGCCATCCAGGACCTCTATACTAGGCAGTGTCAGAGGAAGGCCCTAAAAATTGTCAAAGACTCCAGCCACCCTAGTCATAGACTGTTCTAGTGGTGAATTATTATTAATGAACTGTAGAGTTTAATGGACTATGAGGTAGAACTGGGTGGTCCTCTGTAGCATCGATGATGTCGTCCCCACAGTGACCGTACGTACATACCCCAACCAGAAGCCATGGATTACAGGCAACATCCGCACTGAGCTAAAGGGTAGAGTTGCCGCTTTCAAGGAGCGGGACTCTAACCCGGACGCTTATAAGAAATCCCGCTATGCCCTCCGACGAACCATCAAACAGGCAAAGAGTCAATACAGGACTAAGATTGAATCGTACTACACCGGCTCTGACGCTCGTCGGATGTGGCAGGGCTTGAAAACTATTACAGACTACAAAGGGAAGCACAGCCGCGAGCTGCCCAGTGACACAAGTCTTCCAGACGAGCTAAACCACTTCTATGCTCGCTTTGAGGCAAGCAACACTGAAGCATACATGAGAGCACCAGCTGTTCCGGATGACTATGTGATCACGCTCTCCGTAGCCGATGTGAGTAAGACTTTTAAGCAGGTCAACATTCACAAGGCCGCAGGGCCAGACGGATTACCAGGACGTGTACTCCGAGCATGTGTTGACCAACTGGCAAGTGTCTTCACTGACATTTTCAACATGTCCCTCACTGAGTCTGTAATACCAACATGTTTCAAACAGACCACCATAGTCCCCGTGCCCAAGGACTCTAAGATAACCTGCCTAAATGACTACCGACCCGTAGCACTGACGTCTGTAGCCATGAAGTGCTTTGAAAGGCTGGTCATGGCTCACATCAACACCATTATCCCAGAAACCCTAGACCCACTCCAATTTGCATACCGCCCCAACAGATCCACAGATGATG